TCCCCAAACCCCGCCCTCCTCTGCCTCCACCCCCCAAAATCTCCAGGCATTTCCCAACTTGGAGCTGGCAAACCTACTCTTAGAGTTTGTTCCAGGGCAGACATGTAGTGGTTAAGAGTGACGGACTCTAATCTGGAGAACCGCGTTCGATTCCACACTCCTCTGATCTGGAGAACTGGGTTCGATTCCACACTCCTCCACCTGAAGCCAGTTGGGCAAGCTTGGGTCAGTCACAGCTCTTTCAGAACTCTCTCAGCCGCCCCCCTAAAATAAGTCTAGCTCGCCACCTAAAAAGAGCTGGAACTTGAGGCTGCCAGACAGTCTTAGGATCTCCCGGCTATACTACACACACTGCCATACGATAATTAGAATTATTATCCGGCCTGTGACTTACTGGGGGAGAAGCCAGTCCGAATGTGGAATGGAAGGGCCTATATTAGGGTATTACACCCCCTACTGAAGTCCCTCCCTTCCCCAAACAGAGGCCCTCTCCAGGGTTTTCCCCCCAGATCTCAAGGAATAGCCCAACCCAGAGCAGGCAACCGTAAGGGGCGAGGGGGGCTAGTTTGGCCCCGAGCTCTGCTGATGAGGGGTATGGGTCACAGTCAGTGGTAAAATACCTCTGGTACTTGGCATTAGAAGAAGAGATTGGATTTATACCCTGCCCTTCACTCGGAGTCTCAGAACAGTTTACAATCTCCTTTCCCTTCCCCTCCCCACAACAGACACCCTGTGAGGTAGATCTTTCAAAGACAGCTCTTGTCAGAACTATGGTTTGCCCAAGGTCATCCAGCAGCTGCATGTGAAAGGTGGGGAATCAAACTCGGTTCTCCCAGATTAGAGTCCGCGCACTTAACCACGACACCAAACTGGCTTACATTTTACGGGACGCATGGCCCAGCCCGACAAAGTTACATTTACCTCAGATCTGGCCCTCGTAACAAATGAGTTTGGCACCTCTGCTCTAGGGTGCTCACTGCTGGCGTCGGTCTTGAGCTCAGCAAGAATTGTGCTTCCCCAAGCCTCTCCTTGCCCCAGGGGAGGATCAAAGAGGGCTGTCAAGGACTGGAAATGACTGAATTAAGGCCAAGCTTCACGGGAAGTTGGGGTGTGTATTTTAGACTAAAACAACAGCCGCGCAGCCCCATAGCTAGGGATTTCTTTTGAAGGGGGCCTCAGGAGGGGTGCAGCTAATTAAATCAAAGTTAATTACATTAATTCAATTTGGGGCCAGCCTGGGAGGGGGGGCCTGGAAAAAATGTGAGGGGGCCTGGCCCCATGGGGCCCCGTGTGAGCTACAGGCCAACGTCAGGAGGAGGGGTTTGTTGTGGACAGGGACCCTGGGGAAGAGATCGTCAACATTTCCCCCTGCCTCACTTCCCCAGATGGAAATCTGCCCCCTCCAGGTTCTTATACTCCACGAGGGGTGTGGAGAACAAGGAGGGTGTCATGGGAACAGCTCTGGGAGACCCAGGTTCGAACGAACACTGCATCATGGATGCCTGCTGGTTGGCCTTGGGCCAGTCAGTCTGCCTCAGCCTGTCCTGCCTCATAGGGTTGTTATGAGGATAAAATGGAGAGCAGCGGCTCTCCAGAGTCTCAAGTAGAGGTCTTTCACATCTCCTCCTACCTAATCCTTCAGATTGGAGATGCCAGGGATTGAACCTGGGACCTTTTGCATGCCAAGAAGATGCTCTGCCACTGAGCCACGGCCCCCTCCCTTCTAAATGGAGTTGCTGGAGACCGAACCTGGGACCTTCTAAAGGCAAAGCTGATGCTCCACCACTGAACCTCAACACAAAGCTACTTCATCCTGAGGCAGATAACTGGTTCATCGGGGTCAGTACTGTCTCCTCAGACTGCCAGCAGCTTTCTGGGGGCTCCAGGCCGAGGCCTTTCACATCATCTATTACCTGATCTTTTTCAACTGGAGATGCGGGGGACTGAACCTGGGACACACACACACCCCCCGCCGCAGCTCTTCTCCAAAAGTGCATGCATGACGGTGGCCAGCAGGTGGCACTGTTAAACACACACACACAGCCCTTCAGCTGCCAAGAGAGCCAAGCCCGGAAGCCTCAACGGCTACCGCTTATTTGGAAACCAACACCGAGGCCGTCATCACACATGCCGGAGAAGGAGAGAGGCCACGCCTCTTTCAGGCTGTAAAACCAAATTAACCCAGTGGCACATTCAAGATGAACAAAGTTTCAACATGCCTGAAACTGCCTTATACTGAATCAGCTCAATGGTTCATCGAAGTCAGTATTGTCTACTCAGACTGGCAGCCGCTCTACAGGGTCTCAGGCAGAGGTCTTTTGCAGGGTGGACTCCACGGCATCATAAACCCACTGAGGCCCCTCCCCAAACTGTGCCCTTCTTCAGGCTCCACCCCCAAATCTCCAGGAATTTCCCAAACGCAGAGCTGGAGACCCTGCAGCCCTGATCTATCCTGCTTCTCTTCTTTGCAGCTGTTGCTGGCTTGTCTTCGAGTAACGATTAATAACTATCGTATGGCCTTGTGTGTAGAATAGCTAGGAGATTTTAGGATTGTCTGGCAGCTGGAGGTTCTAGCTCTTTTAGCGTTTCGCACCACTAGGTGGCGAGCTAGACTTGTTTTTAAGGCAAGAGACCTTTCAGAGGTGGTTCGCTCCTGGTATTCCTTGGAGGTCACCTTTCCAAATACACGTCTTGGCCGACCCTGCTTAGCTGCCAAGATCTGACAAGACCAGGCTAGCCTCGGCCATCCAGATCAGGGAAACGGAAAGAGCAGCTGAGGGGAAATCAGCCGAGAGAGACAGGAGGACTTCTGTGCAGCTGCCAGACAATACTGAAACCTTTGTAGCCTGGAGATGAATTGTACTTCCAGAAGAACTCCAGTTCCCACGTGGAGGTTAGAAACCCTGCATGGAAACTGCAGACAATGTGCTGGGGATCGCTGGCTAGGGGCGGGGACACTCAGGTTCATATCCCTCCTCTGCCGTAAAAGACCACTGGGTGACTTTGGGCCAATCAGGAGCTGCCCTGAAAGAGAAGGCTCATCCTCTTTACCAAACTACAGTTCCCGGGGTTCACTAAAAGCCAGTAGGTTCGCCAGCTCCGTGTTGGGAAATAACGAGATTTTGGGGGGTGGAGCCTGAGGAGGGCGGGGCTTGGGGAGGGGAGGGACTTCAGTGAGGTATAACGCCACAGAGTCCAACCTTCCAAAGCGGCCATTTTCTCCAGGCGAACTGATCTCTGTGGCCCGGAGATCAGTTGTAATCCCGTGAGATCGCCAGCCACCACCTGGAGGTTTGGCAACCCTAAAGGCGGCCTCTCCTCCCGTGAAACCAGTTTCAAAGCGGAGCCAGTGTTTTGAAGCCACAAGGCAGAGGCCAGCTTGTGACTCCAAGGAAGCTCGGGTCCAGTCTCTGGTTTGAAGACCCTTCCTCCTGGGTCACTCCTGTCGGTCTTTCGCAAGGCCATCTAGTAGATTCTTAAAATGACAACCGTTAAGACCCATTCCGAGGTGGTGGCAGGCCCGTAGGTAACGTGGGGCCCACGGGGCCCGGCCTCCCAATGTTTCTTCCAGTGCTCCCAAACTGAGCCTTGGCTTCTCCTCCCCCTGAGCTCCACAGTAGCTACATGCCTGTCAGTGGAACGGGGGCTGCATGGGAATCGCAGGGAAGTCATTGCCTGAGACAAGGCACAGGATTCCAGCTGTGCACTCCACAGCTCTGAAGTACACTGGTTTGCAGTTAGTCGATCAGCCCCATCTGAACCAGCACAGTCTGGGACGGGGAGGAAAGAATGTACATAGCTCTATACAGATATATAATGGCGGGCCCCCTGAGCAAAAAATTGCCCCCCCCCCAGCAAAAAGTTGCTAGCTACGGGCCTGGGCGGTGGATGCCTTTGTTACAAGTATAATCCACCGAAAATCCACGCCTTTCCATTTCTTCTCAGCCGGATCAGCCACACTTGAGTGCCAAATGACAAGGGAAGCCCGCGAGGGGTGGGTGGGGTTGGAAGGGAGAGATCAGTTCTTTTTTGTTGTTGTTGTTCTCTTTTTTAACTATTCCCGCCGGTACCGTGTCATTATCAAGAGTGGATATTCCACTCCTGGGCGAAGGAGCAGGGCGACCAGCATGTAATGGGATTCGGCAGAGCGCTTTCCCTCTGACTCACTTTCTCCGGCTGGAAGGATGATTCACCCTTGTGGAACCGAGTTGGCGGCAGGTTACATGTTTCTGCAAGCGTGGCCCGCCTGCGTGAGGGCCGGGGAGCAGAAACAAAGCTTCCCCCAGAGATAGCCCGACCAGAAGAGTCTCTCCTGTCCTCGCACAAAGCTCTCGTTCCGCTGGGGAAATCTTGATAGCTGGCCAACAACTTCCTTGTCTGCTCTAATCCTCCTTGACAAGGAATTTGCAGGCACAGGGCCGTTCACGGGGTTGGGAGGAGGAGGAGGCTTCCAACGGGGCTCGGCCTAGGCTTGCCAAGTCCCCCCGGGGGGCGGGGAAACCCCCGCCCCAGAGGCCCGTTCCCCGCCACCGGCGGATCGGGCCCCGGGGGGAACTCCACCCCAACGTGCACGTCGCCTGGAAGTGATGCGGGCACGCCAGGCATGCTGGGGGCGGGGCCACGGTCATCCGAGGGAAAACTCTACCCACGTTCCAACGTGGGTTTCGTAAAATAATGGAGGGAAGAGTCAAAAGAGAATCAGCCTCTGTCCAGAGCCCCACAAAGCCTGGAACCGGCTCCGCTTTTGGGTGTGTGTGTGTATACACATGTGTGTTTCAAAGTGTAGCCCTGTCAGTCTGCAGCAGCACAGCCACATTTGAGCTCAGGAGCACCTTAGAGACCAACAAGGTTTGGAGGGGGAGGGTGGTGTATGA